CTACAAGAAGGGAAAGATGTGGATAGCCAGAAATGAGGACTTTGCACAGCTTCCAAGGGCAGCTCTGCAGAATGAGAAGTGCAGCCGAGCAGTGTTAGAGATATCTCCCTCATACATGCCGTGGGCACGGCCGCAAGAAGGCTGTAAACGGCAGAGTACGAGAAGGGGAAAGGAGCAGATCCAGTGAAGCATGCAGGGGACACCAGCAGGGCAGCCCATTTCCCCTGCGATTTCTGCTGGGGATTTCTTTGCCTGTGGTACCAGCGGGACTATTAGATTTGCCTTTCACTGAACAAACATCTCTCTCCCCTGCTAGCCGAGGCTGAACGTGAACATCCCCTCTGCTCCAGGTGACTCTCGAGTCCTCCTCCCGAACCACCATCGCCGTGGCCTTTGGAGGCCAAACTTTTCCCCAGGCAGAAACTACCACAAAGGCTGCACTGGCTGAACATACTGTTCTTCTTCCATCACCAGCTTCCCCACTTGAAAGCCCCAGGAAATTACAGATGCAAGCGAAAGGGCTTTGTGTCTTGCTGCTCCTCGCCTGGGAGCTGTGCACAACAGAGCTAGTTGCTGGGATGCAGGCGCTGGAGAGCGGCATTGTCTGCCTTTGCACTGAGCTTTCCAGCCCCCTTCCCCGCTGTGCCCCTTGCCTGTAAAGCAGGGCAGCATGGAGGAGCCTGGCTCTGAACATGCACGTCCTGGAGGCAGACACCCCTCTGCACGCTGCCGGGAAGCCAGAGGAACGTGCTCGTCTCAGGCCTTGAAGATATCGCCCCCAACAGCCTGCTTTTGACCCCTGCCCAGACAGCCAGGCGCGTTTGGGTGGACAGACCTCTTGGAGAGAGTGGGAACACCGAGGAGGGAAGCGTGAGGGGTGGGAGACAGCCCAGCTCTGCAGAGAGATCAGAGCTGCTCCATGCTGGCGGGCGAGCTGTGCCAAACACTGCTCCTGTGCAGAAGGGGAGCCAGGCTGCTCTTTGGCTCACGACCTGCGATCCGATCCCAGAGACCACAGCTCAAAGAAACAAGAGATCTGACCAGCAGCTGCGATGGCATGGGCTCGCTGGCAGGCAGAAGCGAAGGGAGGATACTCACATACTGGCTAGGACTCTGGAAGAAGCGACACGAGCAGAGGAACTGGCAACACAAAGGGTCCCGGTGATACAAGAGCAGCAGGAGGACCAGAATCGCCACGATGAACACAGACGTGGACACCGCTGCCAGGAGAAGGGAGAAGAAATGAATGGAGCCAGTGGCCTGCTGTGCCTGGCAGAGCCTTCCAGCAACCTCCTCCCTTCATCCCTCTGGGTTTCTAAGAGAAGAGCAGGCTTAGGTGAGCACCGACAGGCTAGCTCCCCTGCTCTCTATCCCAAGGACACCGAAAGCCCCATTGCCCCTGACATCCCTCTCTCCCTAAGAGATCAGGAACAAATCACAAAGCTACAGGGGTTCAAGCCAATCTTGAGTCCAAAGCAAATGCTGTACAAGTTAAGCAAGCGCGTGAGGACCAGCCCTAGCACGGATCAGGACCTCCAACAAGCAAGCGCCTTCCCATTTGGCTTTGCGAAGCACTCTGCTCAGACTCCCAGCGCCTCAAGACAGGGTCTTGTTTGCAAGTCCTTTTGTATACAAGGAACTTTGGATTCCTGGCCAGACCACGCTCTACTTTGCAAAGTCTCTTCTCCTGATCTTGCTCGGCGCTGCCATGCAGAAAAAGGCAGGAGCGCAGCTCTGTTCAGGACAGGCAGCGAGACGCGAACCCCAAGCTCGGAGCAGAGAGCTTGGCGTTTCCCTTGTACTCAGGGCACCACGTTTTAAGAAGCAGCTGAAAGCCTTCGCCCTCCTCTGTAGTTAAAGCCCTTATTTAGGGACTCGGCTGAAGCGCTGCAGAGAAACCGCCTGGCCGTGACTTCTCCCAGAGCTACGCGACGGGATTTCTGCAGCAGCCCAGCGCCGCGC